AAGTATATAGTCAATGAAGATAAGAAACAAAATTATAGATAGCAGCTGGAAGAGACGAAGTACGCAAGCAGGGAAGAGACAAGTATAAAGCAACCTGTAATAGAGGAAGAATGCAAGCAGTGAAAGCATGAAGACAAGTATAAAGCAAGCTGTAAGAGAGGAAGAATGCAAGCAGAGAAGGCATGAAGACAAGTATAAAGTAAGCTGTGAGAGAGGAAGAATACAATTAGGAAAGGCATGAGGACAAGTATAGAGTCAATGAAGATAAGAAACAAAATTATAGATAGCAGCTGTAAGACACGAAGTACGCAAGCAGGGAAGAGACAAGTATAAAGCAACCTGTAATAGAGGAAGAATGCAAGCAGTGAAAGCATGAAGACAAGTATAAAGCAAGCTGTAAGAGAGGAAGAATGCAAGCAGAGAAGGCATGAATACAAGTATAAGGCAAGCTGTAAGAGAGGAAGAATGCAAGTAGGGAAGGCATGAAGATAAGTATAGAGTCAATGAAGATAAACAAGAAAATTATTTATGGCAGCTGGAAGAGACGAAGTACGCAAGCAGGGAAGAGACAAGTATAAAGCAAGCTGTAAGAGAGGAAGAATACAAGCAGAAGGCATGAAGACTAGTATAAGGCAAGCTGTAAGAGAGGAAGAATACAATGAGAAAAGGCATGAGGACAAGTATAGAGATAATGAAGATAGGCAAAGAAATTATAAAGGCAAGCTGGTAGAGAAGAACACGAAAGCAGGAAAGAGACAAATTTTAAAGACAAACAAACAAAGCAACCATAGAGACCAATGGGTAGATGAAGGAATGCAGGGAAAGATGGTGGAGAGGCAACCAGTGTGTAATTTGATGTAAGCGTGATGCCAGTGCTATAAAAGCGGCAATAAACTTGGTGCCTTCTATTTGTCATCATTTGCCTCCCCGTAGTTGTTGGATTTATCTTGATTAACCTTCAACCACTATCCACGTCTCTACAATCGACTTTTGTTACACGTTTAACACTTTATAATCTACGATATTTGATTGACATTATATTCTACTTGTAGTACCATTGAGACTTGACAATATGAAAATATAAATTATCGTATAGATAGAGGCTGCCTGGCCGGTATTCATAGTTCTTAAAGTTAAAGATACTTCGGCAGTACTTACTCTGTTATATAATACTCTGTTTATAAATAGATGTCGTTTGTTTGTTAGATTTGAAAATCCCACACTTTGGTTAGTAGCCCGTAACACCATATTCTTTCACTTAGATGTGTGTGCTCTCTTCCTTTTAGTTTGAGGTTGGTGACTTTGAGTCTAAAGTCTTTGATCAATAAAAGCCTTCAGAGATCTATTCCTTCTATAGAAGAAGAATAAAAAATATTTACTGGCCGAAGTATCTTTAATTTTAAAAAATATAGATGTCTATATAAAAAAAAATAATAGAAAAAAAAATTAAAAGGTTGTGTTGATATTGAAAAAAATATATCTTGACCAGGAGCACGTGGCTTTCGTGGATGGCTTTTCTTGATTTATCGAAAAATTGGGTTGGCCAAATATCAGGGAACAGGCTAAATCAATGTTTAGTTGATTTCTGTTCCACTAGATGGTGCTCTGCCATCTAAAAATCACTTGTGCTCCTAGTCAGCATATGCCTTCTTTGTTTTTAATAGATGTCTATATTAAAAAAAATAATAGAAAAAAAAATTAAAAGGTTGTGTTGATATTGAAAAAAATATATCTTGACCAGGAGCACGTGGCTTTCGTGGATGGCTTTTCTTGATTTATCAAGAAATTGGGTTGACCAAATATTAGGGAACAGGTTAAATCAATGTTTAGTTGATTTCTGTTCCACTAGATTGTGCTCTGCCATCTAAAAAAAAGCACATGTGCTCCTGGTCAGGATATGCCTTCTTTGTTTTTAATAGATGTCTATATATAAAAAAGGTATGTTTTCTGATCGTTTGAACGAACATTTAAAGATGACAGAGAGCCTTCTATCGGAACAAATATAAACAAAAGTATAAGGTAATTTTCATCCTTATGTATTTCCCAAATTAACTTTTCGAATCATGTTGTTGTGCACAATGAAGAGCCTCAGATGTCTCCATATATCGCAGTAGCAATGTCCACTATCTTGGGTGTGTAAAGCTGTTGCTCTGGGTCCATGTTAATTATCTGCAAGGCTGCGGCCACATTTATCATTAAAACATATTAATTAAAGGTTGAATTTTAAATTTATTCCTATAAATTTAAAATTCAACCTTTAATTAATATGTTTTAATGATAAATGTGGCCGCAGCCTTGCAGAAAATTAACATGGACCCAGAGCAACAGCTTTACACACCCAAGATAGTGGACATTGCTACTGCGATATATGGAGACATCTGAGGCTCTTCATTGTGCACAACAACAGCGACAATACAGTATACACATCCAAGATAGTGGACATTGCGACTGCTGTGAGAGAGATGCATGGTGGCATCTGAGGCTCTTCATTGGACATGAAAACAACAACAATGATAGATGGCTCTCAGAAATCTTTAAAAATTCATTCGAACGGTAAATAGTAATTATTATTCATTTTGTTAATCCAGATGTCTGCAATGTACAGATGTAATCAAATACTTGGGTTGTTCTTCAGACCTATGTCTTTTTTGTTTTCTACAGATAACAATCTCTTATATTGTATCATTTGATAGAAAAATATTCATCTAGAGATTAAGTGCCTTGAAATAATATCATTGGAATCATTTTTGGCTCAAGTATTTTTGTTTTATTCACAACGCGTAAGTGAACTCTAATTCATTAAATGGTTTCTTTAAAAATAAAGATACTTCCAGCAAATCTTTTATCTCGACGTTTCGACAAAATATTTTGGTCGAAACCTCGAGGTAATATAAAGATTGACTAGCCGAAGTATCTTTATTTTTAAGAAATATTGTTGCTCTGGTGACCTGATGTACTGGGATAAAACATCCGAGAAGCCTTTTGACGTTTATTCACAAACAAATGGTTTTAGAAAGAAAGAGCGCCTTCTAACTAAAGATTATTGTCTTGAATAATCCGCAAGAACAAAAAGTATTTAAATTCAACGATAGAAGAGTATGGGAAATAATTATACAAAACTAAATTATGTAAAAATAATTATACATGAAAGTTAATAAGAATAAGTTGTAAAAAGTCACCGTTAAGTCCACGAGAAGTAGCCAAAACAAGTAGGTTTAGAACAGTGACATGTAAGCAACCACCTCCAGCCTCTCTTCTAACAATATGAATGCTGGCCAGGCAGCCTCTATATTTACGATCATTATATAGTGCAAAGAAAGTTTATTTCTTGGAATATTTTACAAAGATTCTCAGTTTCGTGGTTTCTAGAAGGATTGTCTGGATTCTTTAATATACAAAGGCTGGTTAAAGACTTATAACAGAAAAGCAAAGAGGAAGGTTTACATAATATTCAAATATATATATCACAATTATTACTCTGTTCCTTTAAATAATAAGCATTTTGCTACAATATTTATAAAAATTTAGATTTTATTTTCTGTTTGAAAAAAAACAACTTTTTTAGTTTTAATGTAAATCGCATCGTACTACGTAATCGGGCGCTATTTAGAAGGGGCGCTATAGACAGGATTAACTGTATATAGTTTTATTTGGTAAACACATAGAGCTAAGACAGAATTTTGATATGTTAATAAAGGAAATAATGTAAATATACTGACTTTAATACACTGGCCCGCAAAATTAAAGGAACAAAATATTTTTTCTATCTCAAAAGATCATTGCTTGACCGGCTGATTTGCATAAAATACGTGTTATATTTTTTTTTATTTCGGGTAATTTTAATCAATAATCGAATAATAAATTTGTGTATAAAATTTCATTGCTAAATGTTCAATAAAATTTGAGATAAATGAAAAAAAATATGTTGTTCCATTAATTTTGCGGGCCAGTGTACTAAGCAATAACACGCAATCTATATATATATATAAATAATAGAAGGATTCAAAACCATGAATGTTTCTTTTATACACAATACAAACTTCTACTGTCCTTACTGCGATGAAAAAAACAATGATAAGCCAAGCCCTCCCAATATTTTTTCCATCGCAGTAAGGACAGTAGAAGTTTGTATTGTGTATAAAAGAAACATTCGTGCTTTTAAATCCTTTCATTTTATATATAAACTGACTTTGTTCATTAAATTAAGCTGATTAAATGTACTTAGGCGCAAGTATCCCAAGCTGGGATATCGGATATGTCAAATAAATAAATATATTCATAAAATTATTTGAATTAATATATTTAAGATAGAATAGATAGGTATCTATTCACACACAACTGCAATATTATTCTCTGATAAATTATACTATGCAAATATACAGTTAAACCTGTCTATAGCGCCCGCTCTTGGGACTCACCAAAATAGGGTGCTAAAGAGAGGAGGTGCTATAGACAGGTCACTTTTAATGTAAATCGCATCGTACTACGTATTTAAAATTGGGAGCTATTTAGAGGGGGCGCTATAGACAGGTTCAACTGTATATAGTGTTATGTGGTAAATCCATAGAGCTAAATCAGAATTTTGATATGTTAATAAAGAAATATATCTAAACGTCTTCATAGGATAAGTATTCTGATTCGTAAACTTGAAGGGAATCTTAATGATTTATAAAAGAAACTTAATTTTGAAATTGACAATTTTTACACATTTCTAAATATAAAAATATTAAATTTATTGTTTGACCAGTGACTTTTTACTGCGTTATATTTTACACTGTATATAAATAAATGTCGGTTGTTAGATATATGTAACTTCTCTACATCCTGACTCTCCTGGCCTTACCCGGCAATGATCCCCTGGCCGCCCATCCCCAGGCCCCTCCAACTGTGCAATGTATATGGTTCTTTGTATATATTCCGATTTATGCGTCCATTGGGGCTCAAAAATCATTCATTATGGTTAGCAGCCCCGTAAATAAAGATATCTCCGTTAGATATATGTATGGTCTAGTGGATAGTATACCTAGCTCTCACCCAGGAGGCGCGGGTTCGATTCTTGACGTGGGAACATTTTTTCAAGTCTGGGGAATCTAACCTTTTTTGAACAATCATGGAACTTTGCAATAGTGCATTGCGGTTTGTCTGATTGCTACATTCATTTTTGGTCTCGAAAATCATACACTTTGGTTAGTAGCCCGTAAAACCCTTTTCTCGCACTTAGTTAGATGTATACGCTCTCTTTCTTTCCGTGAGGTTGGTGACTTTGAGTCTAAAGTCCTTGTTCAATAAAATCCTTCAGTGAGATCAATTCCTTCTTTAGAAAAAGAAATACAAATCGGGGAGATGGGCGTCTTTTATATAGGAAGACGATTGTATACAAGCTTTCAGTAAGACGCCATTCTACGGGTACATAATCTGTATCTAATAAAGTTGTTTTTTATAATATAACTAGCCGGTCGCCCCGGGATTAACCCGTGTGCATATCTACCCGAGTGATATATATTTAGATAAGATTTTTTTATACTTGTTTGTTATTAGCATTATCTATTTGTTTGCATCAGCATAATTTAATCTAATCTTTGATAGAGGGCGCTGTTCGTGAGCTAAGTAGAATAATTTGAATATATAGTTTTAATAATTGATTTATATATATTTTTAAAATAGCCTATCGTCTTCCCCGTATTTTTATACCTATGTATGGAAATTTTGGTTTGAATTAGTGAACTACTGCGAATTTGTATACCGGACATACAAACAAACATACAAACATTCATTTATATATATATAGATATAATGCGGCTTATGATTGTAGAACGACATTTGATAATTATTCCGTATACTTTTATACTTCATCCCTAAGGTTAGAAATAATCGTTATTTCTCCTTAAAATAAATTTCGATATTTCGTTCAAAAGAAACATTTGCGGGATAATTGTCAAATGTCGTTCTACAAAGTTATTTTAATAAAAAAAATAAACACAAGCCAGGGAGAAGAGATTCTCTATATAAAACGACGATCGTACAAGCCTTCTACAAGCTACTTGTTTGAAGTTGTGGCGACTACACTTGGCTTCAGCGAGCCGAACTAAGACGGCCTCGGCATCCGTGGGCGTCAACACTTCACTACGCATGCGCGTGGGACGTCATCAGAGACGCTGGCCACTTAGCGGTAAACAACAAGGCTAGTGCGGCGGCCGTTATTTCAACCGTTGCTTCTTTTCTCTTTATAATTTCTCTTGCTTTAAATAAATTAATTTTAATTATAATTTTATCAGCAGCCTTTCCACAAGCCACACCAACACAGCACATCAACAATCATCCTACAAAGTTTATATGTTAAGTTGGTAATTATTCTTATTTTTAATTCATAGAAGCATTTTTCTGCCAGATATATTCAATTTTTTATCATCATCATTTTAAATACACCTATCCCCCGATTTACACGGTATTTTTTTTACACGTTTTCGCTTTTACACGGTTTTCCAAATAAGTTTTTTTTCTTTTGTTTTTATCGCACTATACTAAATGCTACTGTGATTGAACACATGCGCTGTGTACACATCTCACGAGGAATCCCGAGCTTATGTGCTGAATACATATTTTAACCTGTCAATGCATTTAATTTTTATTTCTGTGTACACCTATCCCCCGATTTACACGTTTTTCTCAGGAACGTATTTCCCGTGTAAATCGGGGAATAGGTATATTGTTTTTTTCTTACTCAGTTATCAAATCATTTTGCAATTGTAGTTTCTTTTTTGTTTTGTTGTGTTCCTTTTTAAGAAATTAAATACATATAGAACTAAAAGTGGAATATTCAATTCAAGCATATGGAACCAATATCGATTCATTTTTAAAACAAAGCAAAATCATAAGCGTATACAACTTTCACTTTTTCATATACACAAGTCAGGGAATAGAGCTTCTTTTATATAAAACAATGATTGTATAAGCTTCCAGGCAAGACGCCTTTCTTTCGGAAAGCTTGTACGATGTTAGACTTTTATAAAGGAACCTTCTCCCTGACCTGTGTTTGTTTTCTTCTATATAGATTATTGTTGTCTTAGTCAATTCCTTCTATCACATTCCTCTTTTTTAACACTTATAAACAACTTTCTGAAATTTCCTAAGCTATGAGATACATAACTATCGAATTTATTTATTAAATACGTATTTAAATGAAGAGTTAGCTGAAATATTTGAACTTATTCTCAACACATCAACAAATGCATAAGAATTTTAACTATATATTAATTATTTATACTATGGGGAGTCGGTGGAAGGCTGGTTAAACCGTTTGGTTTTCGACCACTAGGACCCGGGTTCGATATTCGCATTGGACACTTTTTTCTGTTTAAAAAAAAAAAATGCTCCAATGGCCCCGAATCTTGCAAAAGTCCAACCCCACCGCGAGTGCAAGTAACCAAACGGGGCTCTGGCATTTGTAAGTGCAAAGTCGAACTGCTTTTCACATATGTAGACATGTGGTGCGCTTACAGTAAAAAGCAGTCGCTAACTACCCACCATGATTATCATGGCCTGTACCACGCGTACTAGGGATAAGCAAAAAAAAAATAATTATTATTATAATTATTAATACATATATAGATACAGTTCTTAGGAAATTAAGTGCTGGATCGTTTTTGAAGACAACTCTCGGAATTTATAGAATTAAACTTTAAACCTTTCTAGATATAGAGAGAGAAACGAGTTAATTACCTCGCATTTAAGGCAACAAAAATCGTCTAATTTTCATACATCGTTCTAACCAGATTCAACTTGTGCAAAACAGACGACAAAGAAAAATAAACAAATTAATGGTAAAGGGTAAGTTCCTATTTTTACAAGCTTTCACACTCAAAGAATAATCATTTTCTTGCTTCCTTAAGAGACACTTCAGCTGGTAAATGTTTTTATTCTCTCGAAATTTGAACAAAAATCTTTTATCCTCATCAGGAACATACTTTTACTAGCCGAAGTGTCTTCAATTCTTGAACTATGAATGCCAGCCAGGCAACCTCTAACTTTACGACATATATATATACAGGGAAGTATATCGTGATTAATATTTCAAGGATGATAAACATAATTAATTATATAGATATAATTTATTTCTAAAAATTTTCGGATGAATATTCAAATAAATAGTTAATTTTATCATCAATAGTAAAGAAAATATGATTTAATATATATTTTCTTATTTAACACTTTATAAAATAAAAACTTTAAAATATTCAATTATAATTATAAATAATCATTATATAAATTTAAAATTTATTAATTATTTGAATAATATTTGATAAATAATTATTCAGTGAGTAGGAATAAAATACGTACTTGAGCGACTGCTACCTAAAGGAGCTAAACCCTTCAAAACTGCGGATGACGTCATGGAACTTTGTTTAATCGATAAAACAACTTTATTCAATTGATCGATGTGTGGGTGGATTGGTATCAGAAGTTGTAGAAGAAGGAATAGAGTGAAATTTTCAACTTTTTGCTTTCTTCCTGGAAAATATCCTTTTGAAAAATATTCGGGTGAGGCGTGTAGTAATACAAATTGTATCCGCATTGGTTATCCTGATTGGAAGGGGATTCTAGAATGGATTTTTTTGGTAGTTCGTCTGATTTTGAAAATATTTGTTATACCCTCGGAATTTTTAAAGAATGAAAACATATTTCCATTTTTTTTACTAATCTTGAGTAGTACAGGCCGTGATAATCACGGTGGGTAGAGGGTTGTGACTGCTTATATTGTAAGTACACGTAGTGCAGGCCGTGATAATCACGGTGTGTAGAGGGTTGTGACTGCTTGTACTGTAAGTACACGTAGTACAGGCCGTGATAATCACGGTGGGTAGAGGGTTGTGACTGCTTGTACTGTAAGTACACGTAGTGCAGGCCGTGATAATCACGGTGGGTAGAGGGTTGTGACTGCTTGTACTGTAAGTACACGTAGTACAGGCCGTGATAATCACGGTGGGTAGAGGGTTGTGACTGCTTGTACTGTAAGTACACGTAGTACAGGCCGTGATAATCACGGTGGGTAGAGGGTTGTGACTGCTTGTACTGTAAGTACACGTAGTGCAGGCCGTGATAATCACGGTGGGTAGAGGGTTGTGACTGCTTGTACTGTAAGTACACGTAGTGCAGGCCGTGATAATCACGGTGGGTAGAGGGTTGTGACTGCTTGTACTGTAAGTACACGTAGTACAGGCCGTGATAATCACGGTGGGTAGAGGGTTGTGACTGCTTGTACTGTAAGTACACGTAGTGCAGGCCGTGATAATCACGGTGGGTAGAGGGTTGTGACTGCTTGTACTGTAAGTACACGTAGTATAGGCGGTGATAATCACGGTGGGTAGAGGGTTGTGACTGCTTGTACTGTAAGTACACGTAGTACAGGCGGTGATAATCACGGTGGGTAGAGGGTTGTGACTGCTTGTACTGTAAGTACACGTAGTACAGGCCGTGATAATCACGGTGGGTAGAGGGTTGTGACTGCTTGTACTGTAAGTACACGTAGTACAGGCCGTGATAATCACGGTGGGTAGAGGGTTGTGACTGCTTGTACTGTAAGTACACGTAGTACAGGCCGTGATAATCACGGTGGGTAGAGGGTTGTGACTGCTTGTACTGTAAGTACACGTAGTACAGGCCGTGATAATCACGGTGGGTAGAGGGTTGTGACTGCTTGTACTGTAAGTACACGTAGTGCAGGCCGTGATAATCACGGTGGGTAGAGGGTTGTGACTGCTTGTACTGTAAGTACACGTAGTGCAGGCCGTGATAATCACGGTGGGTAGAGGGTTGTGACAGCTTGTACTGTAAGTACACGTAGTACAGCCTATGATAATCACGGTGGGTAGAGGGTTGTGACTGCTTGTACTGCAAGTACACGTAGTACAGGCCGTGATAATCACGGTGGGTAGAGGGTTGTGACTGCTTGTCCTGTAAGTACACGTAGTACAGGCCGTGATAATCACGGTGGGTAGAGGGTTGTGACTGCTTGTACTGTAAGTACACGTAGTACAGGCCGTGATAATCACGGTGGGTAGAGGGTTGTGTAG